CAGCACTTGTTGAAATTATTAGAAGGCAAACGAAGCTGATAGAAGAACATGGACTGGTTGTAGACTATGTGAGGTTAAATGAAGGTGAGATCTGCAAGTAGCATTATAAGTTGATGCTTTCTATTTAATTCAGGTTTTGAACTGAGTTCCAGATTTCTGGCTAACATGTCTCTTCTAATTCCACATCATTGCCTGAACCATATCTTAGCTTGAAAGTACAAGCAAAAGTCTGTATTTTCATGCTGTGTTTTCTCAACTAGCAGCATTTGAAAGTACTAATGCAGGCAAATACATAATATTTTACAGTAAGTTTAATGAACAAGAAGGCAGGAAATAACAGAAAAGCAGTCTCTCAGATGTGTTTTCTTCTGGAATATGATTACTGAACATGTGTTTTCTTTCAAAACACCAGAGGAAGCAGAGAATTTCTGTTTTCACTTCTTGTGTCTTTGACCCCCTGAGAGCAAGGATTCATTTTTTAACATTGTGATTGAAATTTCAATTGCATTTCCAGGTTATTAAACAGGAAACATGGCTTGTAGGCTGTATTAGCATGATATCATCTTGTTTAGGTAAAGAGGTGCGACTGGATGTAAACAGCTTTCTCTGACTAATGAAGATTAATTTAAAACTCAGAATGGGGAAGAGAACTAAAGCCTAGCACACAGAAGCTGTCCATATGAGTGATTGAGGACTATATTACTTTGCTGAGAATTGGTATCCACCATTGTGCCTCAAGAGCAGTTTCTCAAAGATAAAGCTCCATAGTGGTAGAAAAAAGAAAAAAAAGAATACAGAATATAACTACCTCTGAATGGAGCTGAGCTAGGTGCACAGGCAAGACGATTCCCTCAAATCAGGAGGTCATCAGGGGCCTTTCTGAGAGGACACATCTCCTTGTATTAGGTCAGCCTTCTTGAAAGGTAGGGAAACGTGGAGTATGGCTGTCTCAAAAGGTGAGGTTCACAAACAGAAGGACTTCTAAGGCTGCGTTCCATATTGTTTTATAAAGTTATAACTGAAACAAAAAAGATATGTAACAAAACTTCTTACTGAATGTTCCTGGGAAGTCAGAATTGGGTGAAAGAGTTTTGACCCTCTTTAAGGCTGGTCCCCTGGTAAGAAAAGTAATTTGGGATGAAATGCATGGAATGGCAGGAAGAGAAAGCAAGCAGAGCTTGAGTTAGCAACCTTAACTTTGACCCATATTCCTAAGACGATAAAGGAGGACTAGATTACTAGAGCCATCAGGAAGGAGGGCTAACTCTTTTTCATCAGTGCCCAATTTTTCTAGTACACAACTCTGTAGGAGAACTGGTTAAAATCAAGCAAAGAGGAAGACGGTTTCCCAGTACCTCACTCATTACCAATCCTATTTGGCACTCCACCATGAACACCTATTCCTAGTTCCCTTCCCAGGAGCCTGTACTCAACAACCAGTGCAAAGGTTGCCAAATGTTGTAGTGCATGCTTCCAAGCGACAGGGTGGCAGCATGGGTATAATCAAGTTGGCTAAAGCATACTAACATGATGAATAAGATGGTTTCAAGAAATTAGAGTCTGTTAAGTCGAGGTCTACTATTAGACAAACTGTAAGAGTAAAACTACTTTGAATAAAATTTCCTTGCCAAAAATGAAAACATGTGGTCTCTTTTCTGGACAGTTTCCAAATTTCAAAAGAGTTGATCATCATGGTTAACAGCATTCTAAATGCTGTGAGTGGTCAGTGTTTTCAGAGGCCATTGTTCTTTTTGTCATTGCTGCTGTTGGGATGAGCTTTTCATCTGCAAAGAAAATTCCTAGATGTTATATCCTACTTCAGTTTAGACTGACAGGGATTTCTAGCTAGCAGTCAGTCAGTTCTGTGACACAAAAATATGCAGTTTTGATTACATATGTTTTAGAACTGTAAAACACAAAAGTGATCAAGCTTGCTTCTCTCTGGTGTATTAGGAATCTAGCCATGCCACTAGGTGCTTCTTTGTGTGACATGTAAGTGAATAGACATAGAAAGGAAGTGGAGGTCCTTCCATTTAATATTTATTACCTGTGATTGCTTTGGAGGCTGCAAGAAAAGACAGATTTGTTGAAGACTGGTTAAATTACTTTTGCTTATAATGTGAGTAACATTTGTGTCCAGATCTCCATAGACTTCAGTCCCAGTCTGTGGATTTCATCTATCTCACCAAATTATTTATAGCATGAAATTGCATTCACTTTTTTGTCTTTACGAGAGAAATCTTTACTGTGCTCAATCAAAAATTATTGATTGTTCAAACAACTTTAATAGTGGCTTGCACACCAGCTCAAGTCTGTTGATCCAGCTAGCTTACCAGCTAGGAAAATTCTAACTTTAGGTTTTGTTTCCTGTGTTGGAATTGTTCTCGGGTTTTTTCTTTCACTTACTTATTCTCCCAGATCTTACCCACTATTCTTTTTTCTTTTTTCTACCAGAGAATATTTTAATTCTGGACCATGCAGAGTCCATTTTTTAAAATCTCTGCTAATTCCTGTTGTTGCAATCTTCCATTTCATCCAGACTTAATCAGACCTATGACACAGTCAGGATTTACAGTAAGAACAACACTGAAATCAACATAAAATCATCTGAAATCATGTCATGAGATTTTAGTGTTTAACTTGAATCATAGCCCTCGAAATCTGAGTATTATTTTTCTGTGACCCATTTCCTTCAAGCTGGTCAGAAGGAATGAAGTCTTGTATCTGAGTGTTACGGGAATTACATGCAGAGATGGACAGAATATACTACTGCAAGAGGACAGTGCATAGCAACACAAAGCAATACTTTACCATTGTTGTGGTTGTTTACTCCAAATATGTACAGAGGCTTCAGATTTCAAAGTAACTTGTGTGGTATGTGCAAGGAGTTGAACATGTGCTACTAATGAGTTGCACAGAGAAAAAGGGCTCAAATACAATATTAACTGTAGAAAACAGCCTTAAAATAACATAAAGGCTATGACTAGTGGACAAAAGCCACAGATGCAAAACTAAGGCCAGAATTTTGTTCCAGAACTTAGTGAAAAACAATTCTTCTTCATTTATTAGCATAGTTTAGAAATTTAAGAGACGTGTCTAAGTCAGATTTAAACATAAAATATTTAATCTCAAATGTCTTCATTTTAACACTCCAAAATAAACACACTTGCTAAACTTATTTTTTTCTTACTACAGCATATTTAAATGATCAACATAAAAAAAATGTCCCCTAGTTTTCCATACTCATGCTTTTTTTATTCTGTCAATTTTCTCATTTCATAGGAGAAAATAACATCTTGGGCTAACATTTTTTCTGCTACAATGTGTAGCAGAGACATTTGTTAGTAACTGAGAGTGTCACTTCTAGAATCAGTAGATTAAACAGTGAATTATAAGTGTTTTGAATCATCTTCTTATGTAGACTTTAACTGATTATTTTAATATAATAAAGATGATGACTTAAAAAGACTGCAGGGTCAGATATTACTACCCAAAACCAAGTTCACATCTAAGAGCAAGAGAAAAATCAATGAAAAAAACTCTAGCTTACTATATGGTGACCTTATTTGAGAGCTTAGTTCCATGGCAATGATTCATTTACCTAATAAATGCTGTCAGACAAAATTAGAAAAAAAATACTGAATAAAATTTTCCACATGTTTTATAGAAAATTTGTTATTTGACACTTGAATCTGCAGATAGTTTATCAGGTGTCTTAGCTCCACTGAAAGCAATGCCAGTTTCTGCCATCAGAAACATTCCTCTTTTCTTTGATAATTTTATAAATGTATCTGTATTACATTGGTAATGATGATATTTTAGAGATCCCATAAACTTTTGCATACCATTAGGACTGATGGGGCATTTTCCAGTAATCAGAACGGTCCACAGCATAGAAGAAATGTATTTACTACCATTTGCTTTCCATCTATGCACTTGGTCTAATAAAAACATTACCACTCCCTGCAGCCTTGCCATAGCTGATTTCTTAGCAGCTTTTCAAAGAGACATGTAAAAATATTAAGTAGTCAGACATTTCTGGAAATATTAAAAATTAGCTGAGAAAATGGTTTTGTTAAAAAGTGTAGAAAATATGAAAAAAAAAGGCCTTTACATATATAAATTCCACTCTGAAAGTATCTTCCCTATCATATATTTCAATGGCCTGATTCTAACTTTAGTCATACTAACAACAAAACTATTTGCATTCATTCATTCCTGGAACAAGACAAATTCACTGTTTTAAATGAAAAAATATCCCAGATACCACAAGTGAGAATAAAACAAAAATTTTCTGGAGCATCAGAGGCAAAAAGTGAAAATGTTAATTTTGTTATTCTCTCTGCTGCATACTTGTATGGACTTTTAAACTCCCTGCAGTAGCTGTTGCCTTCTCAGCCAGTATGGGGTGTAGTTGGTAATCTTTACTTGAACTGAATCTGCCTAAAAATGTTTCCCAAGAAAGAGTCTTTGCCACGAGTTTTTGCCACCTAAGCACAGCTGCAGAAGGTCACTGTTCCCAGTACTGATGTGATCAGTTGAGTTTCCTGATAAATGCTGCATGCATTGATACTTTAATATTCCCTGCACCAAAACTGCTAAGTAATTGACTTGCATGTCTGTACTGTTATAAAGCTCACAATGCCCTGGCCAAATTTAGCATGTGTTTTTGAAATAATCTGACTGCTTGCATTTTAAATATCTAATTATCAGTATGGTTTTTACCTTCCTGGGTATGTCATCAAAACTGTTTTAAGAGGTAGCTTTGCACTTTGAAGTGAAATGGGTTTGAATAGCAAGGTATGCAAGCAAACAAAAGTGAAATTTAAAACTTTCATACAGAGGTTGTTAAATCTCTGCTACTCTAAAGTATCCTTTGAGTTTGATTTCTGACATTTGAGCACTCTACTGTGTGTTGAAAATCTGAAGCCTTTGCACTATCAGTCAGGAGAATTGACATTTGTACAAAGAGGGAAATAAATAGTGAATGTTTCTTCCAGTTACATCAACACCTGGGTTCTTGTATCAGGAAGCCGAAGTCCTACCAGACCTCCACATACAAGAACAGTAGAAGCAAGGAGAATAGGGATTGCTTTGGTGATACCAACAAGGGAACCGAATATTAGGTTTCCAAGTACAGCTGCAGCTTTGCATAGTGCATTCAAAAAGCCAAAGCCTGTTGCCCTAGAAGAGAAAAAAGAAGAAAGTTAAAAAATAGGTGAAGGAGTAATGTCTTTGAGACACATCTTCAGTGTGAATAAATCAGTACAGCCCAAATATCTTAAATAAAATTTATGCCAATAAGGATTCTGTGCTCATATTCTGTGCTCAAATTTAAAATTAGAAATTAAAGCTCAGCTGCTACAGTATTTCATTGAGGTAATTAATTCTTCTGCCTCAGGGAACAAAATCTGAAATGAATGACTGAACAGGTGAGTTTGCACCTCTAAAGTTGAACATGGAACTTGCTAATGGAAATTCAGTAAGACTTAAATGGCTACAGTAGGAGCTCCCGAAGAGAACTGCTTCACCATCTGTGTGATGATTATTGAACAGAAATAAAGGCTGATAATCTTAGGGTACTGAATTAAAATGGAACTTCTTACAGGTGATACATGTTGAAACAGATTTTCTTCAAAGGCTAATGAGACCTCCAATATTAATGACTGTTCATCTCTTAGAGCTAAAGAAGATAGGGTATATAAAAACCTGTTGGGTGAATGAGATATCCAAGAAACTTTGGACAAAAGGAAAAGGAAATAGATTGCCAACAGAAAGTTGACATAGGTAATTCAGGTGGAGTCTTGCATTGCAGTGATGTGATCTTAGTAGTCTGAAGTATTTTAATTATTTTGTAACTCTTGCATAGATGTATTATGCAAACTGCCATAATTTAAATTGTGTTTTGACATGACCGTATGATTCATTGATGCAAGAATAAACTTGCCCTACCAAAAGTTTCCTAAGAAAGGTATCTGTATAATGGTAGAGTCTGCAATGCTTCTCAGCTGTCTTAGAAATTAGAGACAAGGTCTATGAGGAGCTCATATCTTCTGGGATAAAAAAAAAAAAAAGAATCAAGAAGGTAGTTGTTCTAACTTTCAGAAAATATTTCTTGCTTGCACTGCAATTAAAAGCCCCAGTCCAAACAACAGGAATTAAGAGAAATGCTAGTGATCTAAGTGACTTAAAATGCGCTCTGCTTATTCTACTGAAGCACCTGTGAGGGAAAGGAAGAATTCTTATGCTCAGATATAGACTGAATTGAAAAGCTTCTGCTGGAGCTACTAAAGAGGAGCCCAGAGAACTGAAGTAAGAACAATAGACCACAGCTAAGAGCAAGGATATACTGTCTCAGTGCTCTTCACAGAATAGATTTTTGATTTTGAAAATGGCAAACGATGCTATCAAGGCATGAGAGGTCCTCTGAACAAGATCTGAACAAAATGTGCCATTTTGAAATAATAGTGTCTTTCCTGTCAAATTCTTAAATCAGTTAAAAGACTACCTGCAGAATATCTTAATATGAATTAAGACATGTAACATACTAATTAATACACCTTCAAATAGTTGCTTTTCTGTTACTTTAAATGTTTATTTTCCATTGTTGCAGACCAAAGTCAATTTCTTACCTAAAATGTTATAAAAGTAAATTCAGAGGACCTGATAACATCCTAGTGACAGCTTTTTGTATTATGTGTCTTTTCTGAATCTTGGACAAAACACAAATTACTTTTTTTAACTGGGTGATTATATATTTATGTATTATTTGTTTGTCAGTATGTCTCTTGCACTCCCCAGCAGTATTTTAATTTCTTTGTAATGTCTGATATTTAGCCAAAAAATTACTGTTTTGTCTGAAGTAAGCACAATTCCTCTTTGTGTAAAGCATGGCATTCATCCAGATAATGCATGACACTAGGTATTGGCAGTATCTAAAGAAAAGGAGACAGGTCATTTCTATGGCAGAGTAGAAACTACCCAAAAATCTGTGGAAAAAAACAAGTGGAAGAGACCTAGATGTGTCTCTTATATGTTCAAAGTCATTATTTACTTGTTTTGTATATATATTTGATTGAACCTGCAGTACTTTTACAAAATACATAGTGCTAAGGAAACCTAATCATGCACATCCTGGACATAACAATTTTGAAAATTACATGTTCTGCCTTGCAGCAATCCAGACCCCTAAGGGCCAGAGAGCACATTGCTGAGAGCAGCAGATGAGGACACTTTGGGTATGTGCTGCCTTTGAATATTTCTGACAGAGAAAAAGTCACAGCAGCTCTTTGAAAATACCTTCCTCAGAGAAGAAACAAGCAAGTTGAAACATGCCCATTCTAAGCATGACCTTTGGAAGAATGGGTCTGAAGGAAGACCATGAGATAACACTGAAGGAAGCAGAGAAGAGCCATTCTACTGGGGTGAACTTCCAAAGCCAATGAGAAAACAATCAAAAGTCTGCTATGGAAACATCTGGGCTCCAGGAACATATAAAGCCCAGAGTATCTGGAGGAATATGACCCAGGATAGGGTGTAACTATTGAAAAGGAAAGAGCACCAGACTGATGGATGTTGTAGGGTTCATAAAATCACGGGGTGGGTAAGGTTGAAAGTGGCCACAGTCAGTCACCAAAGCTCAAACAGTCAAAAGCTCATCTTAGCCCAGCAGGTCTGTCCCCAGACTTTACTGGTTATTCTTCTTGAGGTGCAGGACCCGGCATTTGCCTTTGCTGAATTACAGACAGCTCTTCTCTGCCCATCTCCCCAGCCTGTCAAGGTCCTTCTGGAGAGCTGCAAAAAGCATGAATGTCTTTGAGGTTCCTGAAGAGGAAAGGACTTTGTTAAAATAGACTGTATTACAAGCAGGTAGAAAGAGGTTAAAGACATCACATCTGAACTTGAAACCCAAGCTGATGTGATAGGATAACAAGAGATTGCAGCTTTTATGAAGAACTTAAGGGAAGAAGAAAAGGAAAAGAGTCAGAATGGTTCTAATATCAGCCTCATTTATGCACAGAAAATACTTCTGAAGTTATGGTGGTGACCGGTTGTGATCAGAGGCTGCACATAAATATGGTTTTCTTGGTTGCCAATGCTGATGCAAAATCAGACTTAACTCCAAATAACAGTAGCAGAAAAAACCCCCAAAACATAGAGAAACTAGACACCTAGTCAATCAACAGCCTCAGTAAATTCAGAGATACCAGAATTCCCCAAAGAATACATCGATCCAGCTAAAACAAATTTGGATAGATACAGGCAGGAAATATTTAGAAAAGCAATAGCACAAAACATATGGGGATATTTTACTTATGGTTAGTGTTGTTTTATATACTAGGTATAAAGGTAAGCTGTTCCACAGATGTTAGCTGCTTTTATCAACTATTATGACAGTGGTCTGAATACAATTTTCTGCGCAATTTGAACCGTTTCTTTTCATGTTCTGGTCTCTACAGATGCCACTGTTCTTTGGATCTATTATTGATTATATACTCAGCATTACTTTATTGAGTTTTAAAGTAATTTTGTAATACATACAAATACATACTTCTGTCTGAACAAAATTAAGGGAATTTTTCTGCACTGAAAAACCAGTTCTATTTGTAAAATGGACTTACAGAATTTTGCTGATTGTAAGGAGGTTTTATTAGTCTAATCCCATTAGTGTTATCAAATTATAAACAAATAAAAGTAAGAAAAAATAAGCTCATTTTACTGCCCTTAGCTGTCCTGATAATTAAAAAATGAACAACCCAGAAGAAGCTCAATCTTTTAATCTTTAAGCAGATTTCAGGCATGTCCTTTTGCCTAAAATAAGCACATAATTGGCATGAACAATAAGATTTTAACAGGCTTAAGTAAATTGTTGTTACGACCTGAAAAGCATTGTCACTGTTTAATCTTATACCTTCGTACCCTTCAATTTTAATACTGTGTTTGAATGTGTTTGTACTTATAGTTAGAACAAGGTGTTCAAACCATTATGGAGCTCAATGGGTAGAAAATTCAGACTGCTTGTTTTTTTAAACATCTTTCTTAGAACAGTGTTTGGGATTCAAACCCTTTAAAATCTGTATTAATTCATGCTTTTATAATTAACTGTTGTGAATCCAGGGAAATAAAAATAGCCAGGAAATAAATATGCTGCAAATCACATGTGTATATGACTATTGACTGTTAGGCAGTGTTAGGCAGTGTTAGTATAGTCTCTGCTACAATGTTTGAGGGAAGTGCAAGTGTTAGCAAATGATCAAAGTTATGTGATGCATCATCTTACCATCCTGAACAAATTAAGTGAAAAATTCCAAGTATACACCATTCATGTATACACCAATTTTCTTTGCACTGATCAATTATTAGACCAACATTTGCACAAAAATTTCATGTTGACTTCATGAGTAATCCTCATTACTGCTCAAGGGAGACCAGCTGTAAGTAGCAAGAATTCCTTGTCCAGCTAGAGAATTCACCTAAGTCTTTCAGGCACATCAGTAAGAAAATTCTTGCTAATCAGTTTGGGCTTGTCTTAAAAAAAAAACCAACCCAGATACAGATTTTAGTATTGATAGGAGAAAAATATATGTGTCTTTTATAAAAATGTCAGGATAAGGAGAAAGCTGGATGTTACTGAAAAGGAATTTTCCCTGATGTATTTTACTTCTGCTGCTGAGAAAGCTGGGGCAAAGAAAAATGCCTAGCTTCCTTTCATCCAAGGTCCACATAAAAATGGCAAGAGTCCAAACAGTTAAAAATAGAGGGATTATCCAAGCCTTTAGATTAAAAGAGCTTGTTTCCTGATTGCCACATATGTTCTTTCTTAGACCAGGTGCTTGTATTCCTACATAAAATACTTCAGATGCACTTTTTAACTGCTGATAAAATATCTAAAAGCTTCATTGTCCTGTGGCAGAGTGCTACTAAATATGTAGCACAAATATTTGTTCTCTTTCTTGCCAAAGCTATTTACAAGAACAATTTACAACAAAATTTTGTTGGAATCGATAATACGGAAAGCATTAAAAGAGAGTTTCCAAATGTCCTGTGGACAATTTTATGATGTCCTAATATTTTATATTCTTTTAAAAAGTTAGTACAGAAATACATATCATGGCCTGATCAATTATAGTGCTTAGTGTGCAATTAAAACCGTGGAATTTGTCTTTCTTCCTTGGATTACTGCAAAAGGCATAGGTGTGGCAGGTCATGCCTTAAAAACCTTAACATTTCAGCAAAATGCAGCTGAGCTATATCCACAGGATGAGAGTAGAAAATAGCTGTCAGAAGATCTACAGTAAGTCAATTACTGCTATTATGACTCAAAAGAATAGAAAGTTTCTCTTCTGTCACCCACACCAATACAAACTTGGACATAAGATACTGTGAGAATTTTATTTATTGCTCTGGGCATAGATCCTAAGGGTTAAAGAAGAAGTGAAAAAATTAAGTATCATGAACTGAATATAGGAGTTTTATATTTCTTAATTATGGCCAAACCCTTATGAAATTTTTTCAGAGGCATTGAAAAAAGGCAAAACAGGATGACTTAATTTTATAGCTCACCTTGAATTCTAAGTATTCCTGGCCAAGATTCAAACCCAGATCTATGATAGACACAGTAAAATGGTGAATTCTTGGTTATCTGATGCAATCTGATTTATTCTCTATGTGGGAGATGATCTATTTCTATTCCACTTTCTGTTTAAGTTATGGTTATTTGTAGTACCATCTCTCTGATGGGAATCTTGGCTTATAATGCTGATGCTTCCCAAGTTCACCAGAAGATAGGTACCATTTATATGAAAACTGCATTTTAAAGTAATAAAAATGTCTCAATGCTCCTTCTTCAGAGAACTTAAGCTTTCTTCTATTCTTACTTATATTACAGGCAGAGCTGAGAAAGCGTGCAGTGTTATTGCAGGCCCCTTGGGCATGCACATTACAACACAAGCTGTAATTACCTCATCACACAATATTTCTTTTTCCACATCACTCTGCCAGTGCAGAGAACAAAGAGGGCTTGAGGGTAAAATATAGATGCACTGAAGAAAACTTAGTTTCCCTCATCTGCTGTAGAAGTTGGAAGCTGCACTGTGAATAAGACTGAGGACTGCAACGTGAGAAAACAGTTTCATGATTAAGAGAGTGGAGTGCTGTCAGAAGAAAGGATGAAATCCCAACTTCTGTTGCAGAATTTGCATAAGAGGCAAGCAAGTCACATAAAGTTAACAAAATGGTCTTTAAGCATGCCTTTCATATTTTCAGCTGAGCACCTTCAGGTTTATGTTGCTGGAGTGCTGGGCACCTAGAGCAGTATTGAAGTTACACTTCCAGCCCGTTCCTTCCAAAATGCTCAGTGACTGGAATTTTTGGTGTCACACACTCCAGCCTACAGATTTCTTCTCCTGATGGACAGCAGAGCCCATTAAGAAGATAAGGTAAAAGACAAGAGAAGACAAAGAGAAAATGTAAGTTATTTACATTCTTGAGTTGTAATATTTTACTTGCTTATTGGAAATAACTAGTTTATATCCAGATATCATGTCTGTGTTTTAAAAGTAGTGTATTGAAAAGTTCAGAAAGTGGTACTGTATTATCAAAACATTGTTCGTTATTTCATAAGTATCATCTAGAAGACAGAAACCCACTTATGACATTATAACATTAATTATGTTATTTTCCATTTTAACACTACTTCATCGTCTACCTGAGAACCATTTGAGATCTGTATGTCCTGTAATATCTATTACAGCAGTTGTACAAACCAGCTGAGGTTTTATGAAGAACATGAAAGCAAAAGCTGACCTAAAATAGCATAAAATTTGGAACAAGAAAGTAGGACAAACTATGTAGTTACCTCAATTCCAGGGATCACTAAACTAAAATGTAAATATGTAGAAGAGTGTGAATTCATACAGAATCCAAATCTGTCAAGATTTTGAAGCAACCCTAACTGATGAAGAAGAAACTGAAATGTGTGCTCTATATCACATAGACTGCCAAACTGTTCTCCACACTCCTACTGGAAAAAAGCCAGTATGATCCCTAAATTCCTAGAGTACGATTTATGAAACACCTTTCGTATTGTACTGCACAACACCAGCAAAGCCCCTGCAGTTCAGCAACTGGCTGGTCTCCAGGAGGAGGAAAAGGAGGGGCTACCCAGTCCTGTTGTGCATGGTAGCATGAACTGGCCTTCCTCCACCCACCTTTCTTCGAGCCCAACCTCCAGCTACCCTTTTGCTGTGCATTTCTGGTCATTTCACTGATAGGCTGTAAGGAAACAGTATTAAACATTGACAGAGTGAGCAAGGATTTTGTGATTATATTCCCTTTACAGGAGAATCTGGAAGCCGGCTTCAGGGCCAGATTCACTCTGGGTGCAGCTTTGTAGCAAAAGAGAGCATCATCTTAAGTAGGAAGGATTTCATATGCAAAAACGGATCAGGAAGCTTCGTGTTCCACATATGCTGAGAAAGGCTGTTCAGCCCTACAGCGACTTGGAAAAGCTGGAAATTCCTAGCAAACTGTGGCAAGCTGTGCCTGGTCATGGAGATCACAGGAGTCTGAGAAAGAAACCCAGGATTATCAGAGGTGAGCAGTGCTGGTTGTTAAATTGCAGCTAGTCTGGATAAAAAAAAAAAAAATCAGAGAAAAATTCTCACAAGCAACTTATTTGAGTCCCTGAAGGTATGAATTTTCAAAAAGTTATACAAAACAAGAAGTAGCTTTGCTCCAGTCTGAAAAAAAAACTCAGATTGGCTGTTTGCTTATAACCAAGCTGGCAAAACCTAGCAGTCATGGTTCCATCACTGTCAGCTTCTGGGAAAAAAGTCTCGTATAACATATGTCACCAATGTCTTTCCAGGCACAGGTAGATTCACCCACCAGCCTTTTTGTAGTGGTAATACAAAGAGACAAGTTATTTCTCTGATTTGTTGTTAAAAACAGCTGTTTCAATTCAGTTTCTGTTTCCAGACAGTTATTCCTGCATACTAAAGATTTTTAGAGAAAAGATGAGTCAGAAATTGCTATAATCCCAAAGCTAGCAGAAACTATTTAAAACGACTATTAGCTACAACTAAAGATGCCTTAACATCTGTATAGATATATATAGATAAATATCAGTTACATTCTTTATAGCATTCCTAGTAATGATTTTTTTTTTTTTTTTTCTGTTAACACCAATGACTTTTCCAATTCTTTTTCTTTACTTCTTTACTTTAGGAAAACATATGTGGCTGCTACATTCGAGAATGCCCAAAAGATGGTAATTTCTACAGGATATTTATTAGAATTATATCATAGCATTTGAATGGTGGAAGAATTCTCGTCAGAAGAGCAATTTCCTGAGGTGTAATAAAAATACTAGCACTTAGTATTAAGGCTTAGTGCTTGGGATTCCTAAATAGCCTGGTATTGTTATTTGATATAATTACAGCTGTGGACATCAATTTCTTGTCTGAAGAAGCACATAATTTTAAAACGACAATGAAAGGAGTACAGAGAAGCTAGTCTACACTTTTCTATATCTCTTCATGGACAACACTAAAGACGGTGGAACTTCTTTCCAAAAAATTACACCTGCCACCAAGGCATCATGCATTTATAAACTGGAAATATTTTTCACTTCATTTCAAACATCCAGTGAATGACATAATAATTAGCACTGCAACAGGAGAAAGGACACAATGTACTTTGTTAGGAATCTGGGCATTTTTACATATTTTTTTTAGGGATTTGCGAGGGGGAAAAATATTCAAGGCTATTCAAGATAATGCAGCTTTTACATCCTTGCACTCCCCATGAAACAGAATATGACTCAACAGTTCTGCCTTAAGTCCATTAAATGACATAAGGTCAGGATTAAAAAGTGCCCTGTATCTGAAAAAAACCCAACCCATGTCATCTAGGGGAAATGCAGGATTTGAAAATTGTCCTGACATTTCTTACAAGAGCCCTGAAGAGTCAAGAGCGGTGCCCAAGATAACTTTTACCCACTTAATGTATACTCCAAGTGGTCCTGCATACAAATTCATGGCAGACTGATTAGCAGCTGAGGGTGGTTCAGACAACGATTTTTATCTTGATACCCACCATTTCGCAGACAAATGCAGCTGTATTGCTGGTTTGGACCAACTGCTGCCTTCATATACAGTTAAACTATGGGAAACTCAAAAATATTCCATCATTGTTTTCAGAAATATTATCTGTGTTTTAAATGAGAGTAGCTGCTAGTCCTTCTGTTTTCAAATGAAACTACATTTATGGCATTTTCCTGATTAGGTGATACTTGATGCCAAATACATACTAAATTGCTCAAAACCCCTCATTGTTTCCCTTTGCTTTTCGTAAGAAAAATTATTCATTTGGCCCTCTCAAAACATCACTACCTCTGCAAGGCTCATACAAAATAATTTCTCTTTGCCATTTCTGCTGGTACATTTAGGTTAGGGGAAGTATATCTGCACATACCTTCTGTCTGTAGGATACAACTCCACAGTAATGACATCTAGAGAGTTCCATGCTGAGATGGTGAGGCCGTTGTACAGGCACAGCATACCTATCATCATAGATTCACTGGTCCCAAACCACAGGAAGAAACAGCTGATGCCAGAAAGAACCATGGAACCACCTAGGTACAAGGCAGGTGAAGCAAATATATAAAGCAAACATGGAGTTGTATTTAAAGAATAACCTTTGTTTTGTCTAATATTTCTGTGTACATAGTGTAGCTAAATAAGTGACCCAAATATTTGAGTTAAACACCAAAGAGACCTCCTCTACTGGTAAGGCCAGACAGAAAGACAAATGTTGAAGGATGGAGGTCACAGGAAAAAAATACAATTCCTCATGTATCAGAATGCATCACAAAGTATTCAGCTGGAAGCCACTTTGAATTCCCAAAGCAAGATGCCTGAGGAAAACTTCCCTCCCATTATTCTTTGCTCATCATCTTTTGCAAGTAGATGAAACCTGTTCATGTATTATAATAAAAACACCTTATTTATTTTATTGTATTTATATAGAGATACTGCCCTAGAAAATTAAGATTATGAACTACCACATAGTTACTCAATTAAATTGAAAACGAATTTCTCATTTTTGACAATCCACAGGAGATACCTTTCAACTGTGTTCCTATGCAAAATTGATAACATAAAAAGAACAGCTGATACTTTCCAGGAGCTGCTCCACTAGCTGAGGGTCATCTGTGCATACTTTGCTTTCCTTTCAGCTGGAGCAGAGATAAACCACCAGTCACCAGTCTCCAAAATCACATTCTAAATGCCTAGATTATGGTCTTGTAATATCTGTGTGGATGAGCAAGTAGAGGTGGCTGCAGATGCCTTTTTTCCCTAGAGTTTCTAAACTGGGGGCTTTTAAAAACAGTGCTTATGATGCCACATAAATAACACATCTGCAGAAAGAATGTTTTCCAATTCTCTGAGCCAAATTCCTTGAAAAGAGGATGTGTTACTTTTAACATTCCCTGAACCAAAGTGAATCCCCTACCTAGCATCGTTAACCGTCCTATTCTATCCATCAGGAGGGCGGACACAATATTTCCTGGTAACACTGCCAAAGTTCCAAGGAAATTAACAAAGTAGATCCAGTAGGCACTGTAGTCATCATCAAAAGAAATCTGGCATCCTGTCCTGATGTGAAAAAATGTGCAATTTATCAATTCACTGTCAACAAATTTATACTGCTCGAGATCTGTGGAAAGAAGAAAAAGAATTGTTTCAGCTAGCAGCCAACTCCATATGCAACTTTTGATTAAAAACATTTCAACTTCAAGCAACTGCAATGACAACTTGGAGCTTTCACAGCTTTACAAAAAGGGGACTAGTTACTTCTGTTAATTTTGATAGTTTTTTCCCTTACTAGAAAAATTTTCAAAGCTCTTGAAAAGGACCAACTACAGCCTGGAAATAGGAAGTTATACCACTGTAATTTACCCTGCTTGGATTGTATTTGGTTAAGGCCTTTCAGCACCAGCTGGTCTTGCACAAAATGTACTAGGGATTCACAAGTTTCTTTGACTCTGTCTTTCTCAGTATCAGGCCAATTTCCTGATGAGACTGTCTATTGTGTTCAATTTGGTTTGATTTCCTTTAAGTGAAATATTCCTGTGGAATTCAGTTTAAACTAATTGTCATTTCTGAGAAGTCCTCATGGTCTCCAGCTTGTCCATGGATGAGTTACTTACTCTTTGTAGTTAATTCTTCTGCCAGTACCAATCTTTTTTTTTTCCTGTTCCTCTTGTCAGCCTTATAAACCTGAACCTTCCTTCCACATAAAGGTCTTTGCTTGCTCTGAAACCTAGGTCTATTACTGTTATGACTGCTGTAGTTACAGGAAAGTGGGAAGAAGTGCCCCATCTTTCCAACAAGCTTAGTTGACCATGTTCTACTTTCAGTTATGTTTTATTAAGCTGGAGAAAAATAAATTCTTCTGTTGAAACATATGAAAATATGGATTTCACATTACTTAGAAGATTGGGAATGATTAAAGACTAGGTAATTTGAATCCTAAATTCAGATTCCCCTGCCACAGCAAGGACAGTGAACAAAACATTTCACCAGTCCATTTTATACAATATAAAAATACAGTAGTTAAATCTACCAGTAAAATAGTAAATGTATTTTCTTCTCTCCAGACTGACTCTCTTTTCTCTTCAGACTATCTCTTTAGAGATAGTTGATATCAAAGATTAAAAAAAGGTCTTTTATTATGTGAATAAAAGAAATAATTTATTATCTGAGTCAATATTAGGCCTGCACTATCTCTTGCGCAGTGAAATACTTTCACTTATCTCTTGTAGCAAGCTGGCTGCTTTTTATATATTATTATGACTTAAAGGAGGACTTCTTGTATGTCTTACTAGAAAACCAGAAATAATCAATATAAGATGAGGACATGCAGACGACCAATGGGCATTTGAGGCTCTTTCTCATACCTGTATTGTAGAAGGTGGTGTTCACAAAAGTGCAATTCCTGAAGTATGTGTTCAGTGAAGTAATGTCTTCAAAAACACAGTTCTTAAAGAGTGAATCTTCAAAGGTTACTGATTTAAACTTCATCATAATAAACCTGCCCAATACGAAGAATTGCTGTCAATCCACCTTCATAGTTTTGAATAAAAACAAATAGAGCTATTTAGATCTAAAAAAATCTCGAACCCAGTAACAATGATTCCTTTGATGCATTTTACAGCTATGATTAATGATTAGCTAATTCTAGAATACTATTGTTCAGAAGAAGAATTAGTAACACATATAGTTCCACATAGTTACTGGCCCAAACTGGTAATGTGATTTATTTGATAATATTTCTGTTGTTACTTGTCTTTAATCATCAATCAGAACCAATGTTATGACATCCATGAAACAGCCTTGTAAAATCACAGTTGCTAATAATTTGACATTACACCTGTAAACAGGGAGTTAATGCTTCAGATATTCAGTCCCTGGGAATAAACAAGCACAGGCTAATACCAAGAAGCTGAAAAGAAAAAAGTTTTAAAACAATCTTGATTTGTCAGAGGAACACACTGGTTAGGCTCGAATGCAAAACATACTGGTGTTGAAAGTTGTTTTCACAGAATGGTTATAACATGAATAAAAAGTTACATTGCCAGTTACAGAGCTAGACATCTAACTATAAGTATGTCCCCATTAATCCTTTGCCTATGGATGCTATTTCAATTATAATTACTGTGTAATTAAAGCTGCCATAAGGAATTTGCTGGTAGCTTTTTTAAAATTTCTGAACATCCTTCTTCCTACAGACACTCATTTAACACAAGGTTTTATTAAATATTAATAGAAAAAGTCAGTGACAAATTATATTGCATACAGTAACTTTCTATCTCAATGTCACTAGATTAAAACAATGCTTTATTGAATAAGAATTTTTAGTAAAATTCTACCAAATAACATTGTGTTAACAACACCAACCACAACAAAGACGTGGAAATGCATCATCATTTTCATGATGTCTTTTATTTCACATGAAGGTGTGGGAAAAAAGGGCAGTTTTTTCTTCCAAATGCATACCTGGCTTTATTCTAGTCAAACCTGGTGTCACTAGCTAAGTATTTTCCTTATAAGAAGAGTAATAGTAGGAATAGGAACACAAAAAATATGCTATCTACAAAGGAGCAGGAATTAAACTCTCCCATGAATAAATTTGTTGGAACCACATCTTTATGAGAAGGGAGAGAAAAAGCTAGTAGTATTTATCACAGTAAGTGACTTACTAACTAATGAATTCTCTTTTTGTATCGGTCAGAAGAATAGTGTTTTCAGTCCATTAGTTTTAGTTACTATATAATTTCTCATTTGTGACAGTCTGATTAAAATCAGGCTGGAGTTACTCATTATCATTTTTCATACAGCACTTTCCAATCTAAAATGTAGACTAGTTCCAGAGGAGAACAAAGAAAATATAGTGATCAGATTAGTCAGTTGAAACAGAACTGACAGACTACACATTCTACATTCTTCTGAAGCACTTTTTACCTTTGGACAGGAAGTATGTGACTACATTAAAATTGGTGTCATAATGATTTGAATTAAAACCCAACAGTCAAAAAAGTCAAGTATTGATGGATCTTCTCATTAAGAAAGAACTTGAAGGAAACAGTGAGATTGAGGGTGGGTGGGGTATTGAAACATTTATGAAGGAAGGATAGCAAATGGGTTCATGCCTCTTGGGAAATGTTTTGTGAATCCCAAATAGCTGTCAGAGGCATATTAAATTTACACATTTGAAAGAGTAATTTACTGATTTAGCATAAATTAATGTTATATTTAGTGCTTTACAATAATATTCTGTTTAAATTGATACAACCTCAGTTACTGACACTGATTTTAGGAGAACATCTGCATTCTGGAAAGGAGTGGGACTTGGAAGTTATGGCTAGGTTAAAAATTAAATAACTGCTGTTTTTTTCTTCAATGCAGAAACCTTTAACTGTGTCAAAACCCAAGCTCTACTACTACTGCTAAATCATCACAAAATAATCAATTTTATTCACTTACATATAGATTTTCCTACGGAAATAATAATTTCTTAATATCATGACTTCCAGCAGACCATTCATATGGTTGCTCTGTACAGTTCTTAATAGAAACCAGATACCTAAACCAGATGTGTTTAATTTTCCCCAAAGTTATCTAGTTATTTGTGAGTCCAGATATAGCCTTAATATATTTGCTTTTGGCTAAAAAAATCACAGAAGTCTTTGTCAGAATGTTGTTTCCCATTTCAGAGCTGTTCATGCTTTTTATTGGTTTACAGTAATGTTTAGCTTTCATTTTTCTGTGATAAGATCCTAACCTCCCCATGTTCAGCCATTTCACAGAAGTGTCTCATCAATAAAAAAAGAACCAGCAACAGAGATGAAAGTACATCTTTGCCCAGCCCCCTACAATATACTGCATATGTTGGATCTGAAAACCTTTGAATCACACTGTGAAAGGAAGTAAAATTGACGTAGACTTTTTGGTCTGTTTTGCAGGATGACAGGTAAGCTGGGTTTGCATCGCAGATCCTCACACAGGAACCACGAGGGCATGTACACTTCTCCCCATGCTCATGAGTCATAAGAAGTTAAGAACAGAAATAAATATTCACTGAAAGGTAACAAAACCATCTATCATTAGCTCATCGAAAAAACTGGGTTATTAGGATGAGCTTTAAAGCATGCATCTGTTTATTCCAGCTAAGCCAAGATATTAAAAAAACCTCTAAACCTGTCATTGATGTATTCTCCATTGCTGTGAATCTGATTTTCCAGTGTGAAGTTGAAGACGAAATGTGAGACCTCCTCGTTGCGGAAATGTTTCACTCGGGATGCATACTCATCTGACTGCAGATGTTTAATGACATCAGGAAACCAGACAGATAAGCCATAGTAGCTGTGAAAAAACAGAAGAACTTCAGGCACCAACCTTACTCATTCAGAAATCTGTGCCAGGTGTGAATGAGCAGCTCCTTTGGCCACCTATGTGACAGGGCTGTTGCTCCATCAGAATAAAATCCTCCATAACATAAAATTTTTGAAAGACACTGACACCAGAAGATGTCAGTTTTTCAAAGGAGGTATTCCTAATGAGTCAAGTTTGCAACCAAGAACAGACTGACAAATACAACATTTTGTGGAAAGATCCTGAATAAAACAGATGATCATAGTGTCAGAAATGTACATGCAGATGATTTTTATGTCTGTCAAGACAATAAAAAATGGTTTAATCTCAACCACTCTTACCCAAAAGACAGGGTGAACCACACAGCTGTAAGCTTGATCGTATTATCCTTCACTGGGTAGTTGAAGCATCTCATAAATGTCAACCAAATCTGTAAATCATTATGAAACACATTTATTTACATATCTTTACTTATTTTGAACAATTTTCTTAAAGGCTAGAAGATATTTGATTCTTATTTGCTTGTTTCTTTTGGGCATGAGAGAGAGCAAATAGGCTTTCTTGCCACACTTCTTTTGATGCAGCCCAGAACGTGATTTGTTTTCTCATCTGTAAGAACATATTAGTCTCATATCAATTCTTTTGTAAACAGTGTGGACTGTGTATAACAATTCAACCTTATTCTGATCACCTCAAACTTTCTTAATCTCTAGGCAGCTTCATTTTACTTTCTCACATAAACCAGGGATTTTCTCAGAAACATTTTCTTCTCACTTCCCAGTATTAGACAAACTACATTCCATGATTAAAGAGGGATACAATCAGAGTTTGATTTATTCTAAACTACCATGGCTAGAAATTGATGTCTGAACTATATGAGGAAAACGTTGCACTACCCCAAGATCAGAGACCTTGTATATGGTACAGCAGAGCTGACTGAGAATGATGTTCTCATCTCTGTCCTTCTCTCCTTTCAGGGGGAAGGTGCGGGAAGGTGCGGGAAGGTGCGGGAAGGTGCGGGAAGG